GTTTTACAAGTGAAAACATGTGTTTGACATTTATGGAAAGCATATTGGATGAGCTGTATTAGACGAACTTGTGGTGGCCTTATGCTCTTCTTTTTACTTAAATAATAAATCTTATTCTTAATCATAAGTCAAAATCTTAGATTTTTTATAACCTGGGGTTAAATCTGTCACAGTAAACAAATGTCGAGCTTTAATCAGCTTTATGTGACGGAAGTTGTTATATGTTCGCTATTTTATTTAAATAATAAGTATTGTACTTTTCAAATATAGAACTCATAAAAACAAATTGTTAGCGCTATTATTTTTTTCGATATTTCATTTCGAAATAAAATGTCTAAAGCTCTAAAAAACCCAGCTTATACTCTACTATATACTAATAATTATATTCAAACATATAACATATAAGGTGTTTTGCAAAAATATTCTTCATAAACACATCCGCTTTACCACATACATACTTGACAGCACAAGTGATTAACTTAACACCTGACACTTTGAAGGCTCAAGTTTAGGTCTTCAGGGGGTCATTTAATTTGTACAACCAAAATTAAAAAATACTGTAAATTATTATTTTTTTCAAAGCTTATAGATTATTTTGACTTTGTGCTGTATACATTTACTTAGTTAGTTAGAAATGCCTGAAGTGTAAAATAAAATTGCTTAAGTTACGCTTCGTAACCTTGAGCCGCGCTTGAACTTGTAATAAGCACATGTAATTATTGTTATTTTTGTAATTCTGATATTACTGGAAGCAAAAAGTCACTTAATCGTGTCGGTGATTTCTAAAGCAGCTGGCAGAACTAATTGTTTGGCGTAAATAAAATAATAAATATATATATGTGAACTGTATGTGTGTGTATATTTATAAACTATTTTGTATATTCTTTTTCAAAGGCGTTAATAATTTTGCTAGTTTAAACGCGATTGAATTTTTTGAATAATATAATTTTTTTTTTAGTTTGAGTGATGAAGGAATTCATTTAAAGTATTGTATATAAGTTTTGTTGTCGGCCACAATCACTTACAAAAGTCATTCACTAGGTGTAACAAGGGCTTAAAGTATTATAATATGATTGAAGAATAATACAATAAAGAGTTATTAAATAAAATCATTATTTTTATTTAAAATATTCAAATATTTACTTCCATACATTTATCGCAAATAATACATGTAAAATAATTTTCACAGGTTTTGATCGCTTATGTGTACCAATCGGACAATCATTTTTTAACTTTCCTTCAATATTAATATTTTGTCATTTCCATCATTTTGTATCTGCTGAAATTTCATTTCTTTTCATAGTCAAATGCGTTTAAACTTTTCTCGGAATGCGTGCGCATTTACGCTTTGTTGCGCTATTTTCATGTTTTTTGTTTTTGTATAGCGGTAAATCGCTTTCCAAACGTTTGTAATGAAGCTGTGAAAGTTCAATCAAAAGTTTATTAAAATGTCGCTGAATACATTTTTTGTATAGATTGACAATTTTCAATATAAAACTGACTGAAGAGCAATTTATTTTAATTTACTTTACATAAACAACCACTAAAAATGCATAAAAATGTGAGTGTATATATGTATGTATTCTAAAAAAATGATATAGTTTACTTATTAAAAACAGAAATGATAAAGAAAAAATATTTCATTGATATTAGCATTGAAAATTTAATTTTTATGAATAAAGCTTTATGTGCTTGTAGAGTGTAAACATTTTTTTTTTCAAAAATCTTTAAAAATAAATCAAAACTGTGCCAGTATAACAAAAAAAATTTTTGCATACGCAAAACAGAGACAGCATATTCACATCGATATGTCAATTAGCAATATCTGTGGTGATTCAATCGCATCTTGTCAGGTGTTCAAAACCTTTCCAAATCATTCTGCCATATGTCTCTTGTTGTTATTTGCAAATTATCATTTAAATTATCTCATCCGCTCAAATTCTCTTCATAAGCAATCCATAAAAGAACACAATTTACATACAAACAGATATCATAAATATTTGCATGACTACTTATACACTCGAGGTCAAATAAATTGGGACAGGGTAACTAGATTGTGACAATGATAACAGAATATATGTTGACATTGAATCATTTGTTGCTAAATTAAATAGAAATGGTTATATATAGATAAATTCTACAAACCGAAGCTTCTGTACTAAACCTAATCTAGTTTTTATTGCGAATTTCAATCGAACCGAGACCCGAACACTACAAATAAAACCGAAGACGATTACGTATAGTGTATTATTTTAGAAGTATAAACTATCCTTGGGATTAAGCTGTCAAACCAGCTGTCAAAGGACATGTGTTTGAAATTTATGAGGAGTATGTCGAATATAAATGTAGAGCGAGCATACGAGTATATACCTATAGTGTTATTTTAGAACTATATAGTTTCCAAGGGGCTGTCCAAAGCTGTCAAAACTGTTGTCAAAGTAAAAACATGTGTTTGATATTTATGAAAATTATATTGGATGGTCCTTATAAGACGAAATCGTGGTGACCTTATGACCGTAATTTTCTTGGAATAATAAATGCAATATAATTATAGAATTCATAAAGTCAAAATATGAGCTTTTTTATTGATTCTTGGGGTAAAGCTGACTAACCAGCTGTCTCAATTTATTTTTAAAACTTTTTTTAATTCTAAACTCTTTTAATATGTAACTGGAAATAAATTAATGTGAAAGTCCCCATGCAACGCTGTAAAATTATTAAAAATTTTAAGTTAACTGTCAAATATTAATTGTCCAAGCCAAATTGAGAAGAAATAGAGAATGATTGAACTCATCAACGTGAGTAAAATTTTATTTATGATTTTGTAGGCCAGTTAAAGCCCAGCTAATTTATATTTGTTATTATAAGCTTGAACACTTTTTTTATAAGTATTAATCAGTCTTTTAGAATTAAAAACATATTTTTTTTTGATTTTTCCCACAGATGTAAAAAAATAAGTGACCACCACTGTATGCTTACATATAAGGGTTTGAAAAGAACGATTCTTATCCGATCATCAGTTATTATTTTATTCCTCACGACTGAAATGATAAATTAAATTCGCGAGAGCATATTGCTTTCCAGCTACGTGACCTTCCTCTATGCTGACGTAAAATCATATATAAACTTGATCGTAAATTGTTTGCCAATATATACACACATGAAGACATACCGACAACTTGTATAGGCAACAGCTACTTGTCATACTTTGCTGTCACATTTACGTAAATAATAGTGATCATTTCTTAATATCCATATAAAAGCAGAATGTCATAACTCTACCTATTTCTCCAAACATGTCACGTCGGTCGATGAGAAACAGGAAACCACGGGAGGGCATATAGAAGGCACATTCGAACTTATATGTGTACTTTTATATGCATATATACATTTACAGACACTCATGAGACTGCCCCGTCTTTTCGACTACTTGACACTTCAACAGCCGAACTATAACAATTTGTTACGGTACTCTTCATTCAGTCTAACAAATGTATGCCTTGTCTCTCTTTCTCTTCTCCCTTTCGCACGATTAAAGTGTCTTTCACCTTTCTAAAGAAATGTCGAAATTCTGATATTCTTCTATCTGTAATAAATTTAGTAATTAAGACCTCAACAAACAATTGACGATTATTATGTTAACGTACTCCGAGAAATGCTAATGAAGACGACATTATCTTATGATTAGTTATAAGAATCTTTGATATAATATTACATGTGCCGGTACTCGTATGCGACTGATTCGTTACGAAATCCCATTAGTTACGAGTATATGGGTATGGAATAGCAATTGATTCGAAATGCAAAGGAAACACATCAGAGCGAACATTATTAAAATGAATAAATGATTCGAATGTATTGATAAGATATTTGAAACTGGCTTCGAAGCAGTAACGATTGTTTCATAGTACTGCAAGGGAATGCTTTGAGCTCTAGAGTATGGCTATAACAATGATAAGTACATATTCGATTTGCATGAGTAAAGAGGAAATGGGTTAATTGGAAAAAAATTGAAGAAAAGGATTACGAGTGAAATTTGGGTGTGTACTATTGATTTCTGAATCTTTACTATTTATACAATCATATGTAAATATGAATATACTTTTTATTTTTAATGTAGATTTGAGTTTGATGTGAGAAAGTTTAAATATTTAGGTAGGTGAATATTTTTCAATGGAAACCAGTTTCCTTTGCTCATATTTTAGTTTTCCATTGAAGAAGTTTCTTATGGTTGTTGCATAGAAATACTTCAATTCGGTCATTCATTAAAAAAATATTTTGAGTAGGCGCTACATTTTAGACTTTGTTCATCGTTCGAAAGTCGAGGGAAAGATTCGAGAAAGCATCTGCAGTTAATGTTAATGCTGGGATTGTCTAAATTGATATATTGCAATGCCGGATTGTACTTCTCTTGGTATTGCAAGAGGTCTGTATGAATATGGGAAGAAGGGTATAGAGTTACCACAGCAAGGTTTAAATTGCTCTCTGCGATTTCTGAGCAGATATTTGTAGAGTTCCAAGAGCAGTGTGGGTATGATTGGATGAGAAGTTTTGAGATTAGATTATAACCTTTCTACCATTTCCCGATATTTTCTAGATTTGGATGAAGAATATTCATGGATTTACATAAATCGATTCGATTTCGATGCCCTGAATAGGGTATATTACGTTTACCACGAAGTTCCTAACATCTAGAAGAAAACGTCGGAGACCGTAAAAAATGTATGTATGTAGCTTCGATACAACCGAAGTTAACGTTTCTTATTGTTCAACTGTACTTTTTAGTGGGAGAAATCTCGAAAGTACCAGTGATGCCGTCATCTCTTTATTTTGATCTAAATTAACTTACATCAAATACTAATACTAAGAACTTGTTGTTATTGAAATAATGCTTTATTTGAGTTAATATGTTGGGTTTATACTCGTATAGTCTTTTACATACAAGTTTTTTCAATTACTTTTCAAACAAAATCCATAAGCAATTTATATCGAATACTTACCAAAAACAAATAAGCTTAATAAACCAATTGTTCTACTTTCGAAATACCCAGCATAAATCAAATTATTATTTCCACCGTTAAAAAATATTTTTTGATTTCACACTCAAACTAACAGTATTGCCACACTTTCCAAATTGCAAAATCCAGCAATCAGTAGTATTGACATTAACTTAAAAATTTCGATAAATCACTTTCAACTGTCAACACCAGCAAATCAAATCACTTGTCGCCAGAAAAACAAAATCAACTGCAGCGCAACGTCGCCGGTCTACGATCAGTTGACAATCCGTATGCCGCAGCAAAAAACTAATTTCGAAATAGTATTTGGCAAAAACCGTAAATTTAACGCTTTAATGCTGAGCGTTGAAATAGTGAAAAGTCAACACAACTTTAGTTAGGCGCTTGAAAATTGTGTATAATAGCCTTTACTGTTGTTTACCGTTAACGCGTCGAACATTTGGAGTGTTCGTTGTCAATATTTATTTTCGAATTTTTTGCTTTTATTTTTTATTATTTTTTTTTAAATTTTTTCAATAATGTGTATATCTTTTTAAAGCATATTTCAGTGGGTTTTTTACATTTCACTAGACACACTTGCGTCCCAATTATCAGCACACAATTTTCTCTAAATTTCTTTTATTGGTTTTTTTTAAATTTATTTTTCAACTTCAACGAAGCCGGTTTTGACTTTCAACTGTAGGAATTTTTCAAATCTATTATTCTTTACGTTCTAATTCACCTCCGAAACGACATGACAACAAACAGGAAATCCAACTACACTTGAGTAACTAAAAAATGTAAACAAACGTCAAGTTAATTTGGTCTTGTGCTCTGGGACGAAAAATCTGAAGGAAACAAATTATTTTTTGTTTATTTTGTTTTTGTATGCCTTATATGCTTTTATTTGTGTTTCACTTCGTTTGTGTTTTAGAAAACGTAAATTTCCTCTCTTTCGCTTGTCATCAATTGCACATGCGCACAAAACTCACAGCGCCGACCCTTCTCTTCATAAACACTGCACGCACTTCAATTTAAAATCAGCGTCCTCCACTATTTCACAGGGTTGTACTCGCGCTTCGTATTGTGCTGCAGTTCGATGCGAGGATGACGTTGTAACAAATTCGTAATTTCTATCTTCACAGGTACACAGCGTTACGTCGTTTCGAACGATTCACTTCGTTTGGCGGCTTAATTCGTACTGAATGCCAGCTATTGAAATTGAGCTGCTCTTGGTTGCTTCGCGGCACTTGTGTTGTATGGTTCGTCACCACTGTTTAACGTTTGTGGAGTTGGTTGGGCGATCGTTGGTCGGTGCTTTGGTGGTAGAAGTGGCGCTGGTGGTGGCTCGGAATTGAAGATGTGTTGACTTAGCTACGGCTGGTTTTGTGTTTACAACACGCAATGCACTGAAGGGAACGTGTTGTTGAGCTACGTATATTCGATAATAGTGGGTTTTGAGAATTTCGAATACTCAAATTCTGGGAGTCGCGAGTTGAAGTTTCAGTCTGTGCAAAATTAATATACAATTTTTGTGTATAAACTCATATTTCATAACCTAAGATGTGCATATTTTTATTTACTTAAATTGCTTAAATTCGAAATTTTTATGTTAAAACATTTGAATTGGAGTTTTAAATTTTTGATAGCGTCTCTATGTAACCTGTAACCTTCGGGCTTTTTGTTCGAAAATTTGGACCTCTGTGCTCAACTTCAAAAAAGAAAAACAAGGGGAATATGTATGTTGTCGTAGAAACAATAAAGAAAGAATTGTCTTAAAATTTACCAAACAGGATTCGATAGCTGAAACAACAGCTCTTGGCTGGAGCCGAATCCGAGTTAACTTTAGTATCGTAAAACCTGCTGCTATAGTATTTGCACATATCTGTTTCTAGTTGTTTGTTAACCGATATCCAGCTTTTTTATACTGTTTTCATTCGACCGGTTCTTATTCAGACGATATCTGATGTGTGTTCGTAACTCTAGTCTCTTGTTGGTATTTTTTACTGATGTTATTAAATTAAATTTAAGTATTATTTTATTGAATGGAACTCTTGTCGTTTATATGATAAAAATTAGTAAATCAATTCAGTTTGTTATTATTGCTAATTATCCAATTAGAGTAGTTCCTGAAATTAAAAATTCATCTAAGTCGATATCGGTCCAATATTGATATTTTTAAATTAAGTGAATCTCTCCGATATTTATATGGTGTTTCTGCTATTCAAGGCAGACACGAACTCAGCAAATCAGATATCTTCAAAATCGTTTTAGTTGTTCCTGAACTCTAATTGTTGTAACTGACTCAACTTCCTTTTACATAGATTTAAGAAAATATTCTGATATCTAGACTTTTTATAAAATTTCTATATAAATTTATTATTTATTATCTCGCGAACGGAATTAACGCCGAACTTAATTTAGCGCAACAAAACAAAACAAGTTTGAAGCTATTTGAACGCAACCGATGCGCTTACAACTCATATTTGAGCGCATTTGTGGACAAATTTGTTTACGTGTGTAAATACAAAAAATGGAATATAAATAACGCTCGTTAGCTGATTAGTAAAGCACACATATGTGACATTTACACATGTATGTATGTATGTACATACGTAAACACAAATATTTATATAAATATTCATACATATAAGCAATAAAAAAATTCAAGCAGACGCCCACTAAATTTTGTCAATGAATTAACTTTAAATATTTGATTTCAACCTTTTTGGCGATATTAAGTTATAAATTAATGAAGACTAAAATTTTGACATGTTTTTGTTATTGTCAGACAGACACTAATCGGCTACTTGTGTTTTGTATTAAAGCCAGAATAGTGTGCAAATAATTAATTAATATTAGAGTAACTAACTTGCACTAAAAAAAAAACTAACCAAAAATTCGTTTTAGAAATAGGAAAAAATTTTGATAAAAAAGTTTTGTGGAAAAATATTATTTTGAGAAATTTTATTTTATTTGAAAAAAAAAATTAAATATTCAATTAATATTAAAGTAACTACATACATATGTATATCTATACTAAAAAAAACTAACCAAAAATGTTGAGTATTTTTTTTTGAGAATAGAAAAAAATTAGCTAATTTTTTTTTAATGATTCTTGAAAAAAAGTTTGAGAAAACAAATATGTATGTTATGTTCATTTCTTCAATTAATATTAGAGTAACTACATACATATATCTGTACTAAAAAAAACTAACCGAAAATATTGAGCATTTTTTTTGAGAATGGAAAAACAGAAAAAAAATTTTTTTTTGATTCTTTTCGTAACTGTTTCTTTCCATACTTGTATATCAAGAAAAATTACAAAAAAAGAACTAATGATGAAGAAATTTTGAGAAAAAAATGTGGGAAACGGTTGGCCTCAAGGGCCATCCCTGCAACTTCCCGCTAATTTCATACGCTAACGTTCAAATTTCGCTTTTTTCACTGCTTTTGAGCTCTTCGCAATTTTTCGTTTTCAAACCCGGTTTGCGGCAAACGATGTGTTTTTTCAAGGTTTAGAACTGATTAGTTCTTGGTGTCGATCGGTCAAGTCGTTTGGAAGAAATTCGAAAAAAACGATTTTTCAAAATTTTTATTTTTGAGATTTCTCAAAATCTACTGGTCCGATTGGGTCCACACGAAATTCAAGTGCAATGAAACCCTTTGGAATGCCGTTTAGTTTATTCAAATCGGTTGAGCCGTTTAAAAGTTATAAGAGGGTCACATACATCCACACACACACATACATCCACACATACATACAGACAAACGGACATCATCGTAGAAATGTTCGGGGAAGCTTCCTCGACCCTCAAAACGTCGAGATCTGTTGAGAACTCGATTTTTGCAAAGTGGTGTGAAACCAATATCTTCCCGATTTTTAGAAAATTTTCAATTTTCTTAGCAGGAAGTTAAAAAAATTTGAGAAAAAAATAAAAATTTGAGAAAAATTTTTGTTTTACTGATTCTTGAAAAAAAGTTTGAGAAAACAAATATATATAAATATATATATTTTTATTTTGACTGTTTGGTTCCCTCTTTTTGCCAACTCATTGACATTTCTTCTTTATCATAATTTTCTATACACTTAAACGTACAACAATTAGTGTGACACCCACTTCCAGCGTGTCGCTGTTTAAACATTATTTGCTTCTAAGGTTTCCCCTTAACGGACTACGTACAAGTCAAGTGCTGCAATTATTACCGCTTGGCCGACATTTCCACAGAAATACGCACTGACGCATTAAAAAATGGTTTTGTAACTAAATATTTATACTAAAAAGGTAAATGTAAGAAATACCATATATTTCGTTCTTTGTTTCTGAACATGCGCTATATGTATATACATATGTATTTAGGAAGGTGTGGACCTCCGCGGGTAGCTACAAGTGCGCATGCATCGTTGCACTTGTCAACAACTGAAGTGCATTTGCCTCGTTGCAAATCGATTTCATGCGTGTTCGCATTTGCTATATGCCACTGGGTAGCATGAAGGAGAAAATGCACTCGACGGGTACTAAATGTATGTATGGCTATATTAATGGAAACATATATAGAACACGGTTTTCATACATTTTGCTATCTTATTTTCATTTTGATGTTATGTCGCTTGTTTTAGTATGAAATTTGATATGTTTTCTATTGCTTTAGAGTGAAAATTTAAACAATAGCCGTTGGGTAAGGTAATGTGACAGTTTTATAGGCTGTCACATACTAATCAGGCACAGTTTTATTTGAATACGATTGCGCTATATGGATCGTCATATCCTTTTCTACTTCTAATTCCTTTATTTAATATACTTGTATAAGGTATATGCAATTTTTATTTTTATATTTGCATAAATTTATACTTTGCTTGCCTGATTACCCTATAAGACCAATTTTTCTTTCTCTTATAAGCGAACAGCAAAAGAATACTTGATGAAACCATGAAATTCCTACGAAGCAATACAGTAATATTACAACTTGATAAAATATTTATAAGGCAACCTTTAAAAGCACAATAAATTTTTCAACACACTAAAAACAAACAAGAGCGTTTGCTTAACAGATGACATTTTATCATTGTTGTTAAATATTTTCAGGGAAACTTTAATATAATTGAATTTTATTTTGCCACTCGCCTATTGCAAAGAAAGCTATTGTAAGTACGATTGTATCCATTTCATTCCATCATCTAATTAAATTGTGTTGTTTGGAACTGCAAAGTTCGTTTTTTAATAATGAAGCAATTTTTATTGGTATATTCATTTACTGAATTATTATAATTGCTGAAGTTCCTTTGTTCCTTGCTACCAATTTTTGTTAACTTATCCCATCGCACTTATTAACCTTTATAGTTATTGAGTAAAAAGTCGACATGCAAAAAGATAATTATGCACCATCTTTTAAATCTATATTGACTGTGTCGCCGGCTTTTGAGCTATACGGAAAAAATCAATTCAGTTAGACTGTGTCCATTATATACTGTAAGCATATTTAGAAATAACCCTTATAATTTTCTGGTAGGATAAATGGTAAAGGAAAAATAAGAACGCTCTCCGCTAGCTGGACTGATTTCACCTGATTTTGAGTTGTCGTAATAACTAATATCCTAGAGGGTAGCTGTTAAAAAATTAACTTCATATGCTGATGATGATAGTTATAAGGAAACTTTGAGTGAGTTATGCATTTACATACACTTCTAGTTAGACACTTAAGTGACAAACAGATCTATATCTGCCTAGAGTAAGCAGACTTATTCTTTGGCTTTAGTTATATATACATTTGGAAAAAATTTAGCTACCTACCGTTATTGAAAGCAATGACCTTTGGAATCCATTGATTTTAGTGTTGACTGAAAATATAGCTGGTTAAACTCTAGACCGTATCGTCAACGGTACTTCTAAAGTTCATGAAATATCGCTCCTTTGTTGTCTTACTAATTTATTAACATTTTTAAATTATTATTACAATTTATGAACTTTTTTAGAAGTGTTAGCCGCTCCTCACTTTATCTCTATGGAAAAGAAATCAGTGTGAGGCAGCGAGTAGTGTATTCCTTTTGGTTATATATTTCTGTCAAACTTAACTCATAAGCCCTTTTAAAACACTTAGGTTCCCAAGACATGCCAAATGCCCGGATTGATACATATATGCTTGGTAGGATCTTACAGAGTCCTCAATTTGACTTGAATCTATCGAGAAAGACGTGCAAAAGTTATAAAATTAATTAAAATTTTATATAATTGATTATATACATTTTTGAAAAAAGGCTTATTTGAGCGTGGTAGAAACATCGTAACATCCAGATCCATTTAAAATACAGATAAAATAAGAGTGCTTCCACCTATTTAAAAGTTCTAAGGCAAAAACAAATATAATATAAATAATATAACCACTGCAATAAGGGTAGAGATTTGAGAAAGCTTACAGTTGAAAATATTTTAAAAGGGGTTGCCACCTGCGTAAAAAATTTAAATAAGTAAACAAAATAATGTGAATGAATTATTACAATACAGATATCAAACGAAAGGGGTTAAAACAATTTTAAGTTGGAAATATATTACGTAAGATTTTCTATATGCTTGAAATATTTAATTCTCAATGTTAATCTCCTAATATTTAATAAGATAAAAGTGTCTTATATTTATTTTT